TCCCCCCTGCAGCATCCCCGGTCATCTCCTCTGGCCGATGCCGGCATCTGTCTTCTGGGTTCCGTTCCCTGCGACATCAGGACGTACGGGGGGCGGAACCGGCAGGAAATTTAAAAATGTCAAAGTGACATTCACTAAATACACTAAAATCACACAGTATAACATTACTGTATCAAAGCATTTCACATACATTTTGTCCCTAGTGCTTTGTCCTGTGCCCTGCCTGTATTTTTACTGTTCTTTCTGCCTGGAAACAGAGAAAAGTCCATGGTGTCCAAAAAGTGTCCCTTTACGTCAAAAGCAGTTCTAGACCAGCTAGAGAACAGCAATAGTAAATTAGAACCACTTGCAGAATTGAATGATAATGATTCATGGGAAAATTCGTCATCAGACACTGAAAACGATTTTGCAACTAAGATCAGTGATGTGCAAACTTGGCGCTCTATTTAAAATTTCAGTGTTTTTGGTTTGATTATATTATTGAATTAAATTTATTATTATATTATTATTTTTTATGGTTATTTATTAAATTATAATTTATGATTTTGTGTTTCAAATTTTAACATACCCAAGATGTTTACTAGACTCTTGTTCGGACAGATTTCAGTGAGTTACTCCTAAAAATTACAGGCCTACAATAAAAAAACAACATATTTCCATGCAAAAAAATCCACCTGAAAAACTGAGAGGCAGATCTGATCTGAATGCTAGTCTAAACAATTATGTAATCATGTAATAATTGTAAACAGTGACATCTACAGGCCGGAGGTATGAACACCACAATAAGTCAATTGCAGATCAAATAGACCTGTCAATAAATTCTGAATAATCTCAGAAGTTTCTAAAGCTAATGTCAACTTAATGTCGTCGACACAAACCCAAAGTCACACAACACAGGACTTTAAATAGTTTCAAATTGGAACTGAAGGGTGCTTTAACCCTTTTACTACCACTGATGTATGGCATACGTGGTAGCAGGCTAGGGGGTTTACACACACTGTTTACGTGTGTGTAAATCTAACAAGCCGACCATCAGCTGTCAGGTGCAAGTGAGCTATCCCCCCCCCCCTCCCCCCCAGTATGTTAGCCCTTTCCCTCTGCACAGGTCCCATGCTATGTTTCGTGGGCTCCGCTGTCCCTACTACAGACCCGAGACCAGCATGGAGGATCCTACCAGGTGGAGGGGAAGGAGACCAGCGAACGTCTTTTAACTAATCTCTCCTACCTAGAAAGGAACCCAGAGACGATGTGTGTTTCATCACTTCCTGGTTCAACTGTCACTTCAATGGAGGGCAGGTGAGAAATTTCTTGTGTCTCAATAAAAAGAACCTGTCACAAAAAAACATTATCACATAGGGGATTTTTGGTCTGTATGTGATAAAATATAAAGTTTGTGAAAAAAGTATAAAAAAATAAAATAACCACCTAACCCCAGCCCCTCAAAAAAATTGAGCCCCCCCCCGGACTGTCATCCGCTCTATGCTCTGCCCCTCCAGGACTCACTGGAGCGCACGGCTGTGGAGGGGGTAGGAGCAGCTGGCTCAGGCTCTCAGCAGCACACTGAGAGGCTGAGCCAGCTGCCGGTCAGGAGTCTGAGTGGATCCCAACCTTTTAACTTGGGATCCCTCCAGAGCTTGTACCAGCTCTGTGACTTCAGCTGACAGTGGACCTTAGCCTGCTAAACAGGTCACAGGAGTGCAGAATGAAGAAAGACCAGAAGAGCTTTGGCCCTACTTCTCCTTTAAGCTTCAGTGGCTGGATTACACCTTCTGCTACCAGTAGTTTTCTTTTCTTTGCCTACTGGATGAGTTTTGCTAAGTATTTTCTGCTTGATGGATCCTGCTCTTTTAGCTGAAGAAGTTTTGTCATCTTTTTATTTATTCTGCAACAATGAATTTGTTAGTATGATGTAAACAGTCTTATGTGGCTATTTAATTCTGTCATGCAACTGCTGAGTTGAAAGAGACCAAATATTGCAGAATCAGTCATAAAATCCGTCACTGGGGCAGGAAGACACACAAATGAATATTTGCCAAACAAAGCAGAAACAGGTAACAGACTACTTATGGCAGACTGAACAATAGATAACTCTCACATGTAGGGAAAAGGGAAAAACCAGAAAGTCTGCAACACTCATATATCACTAAAAGTACCCTTTGGTATTAGATATGCATTGACTGATACAAGTTTTAACTGACAATAGGAAAAAGCAATTGTGCAATCTTTTGAATATGAACAAATAGTATATAGAAAATTTTGGAAACAGTCCATCAGTACTTCCTCACTTACACTTCCTTATTCATGCACAATCATTGACTACTAAGTCACCCAATCATCACTAATGCTGGAACCTGTAGTGTCACCACTGAAAACCAAGCTTTATATGCAGTGCCGGGACAAGGTCATCTGGTGCCTATGGCAGTGATGGGGGGGGCCCATCCAGTAGGAGTGCAGGGGCAGTGAACAAAGAAGCTGTCATCAAAGAGGAGTACGGGAGGGGGGAATCAGAAGGGTCCTCCACCAAGCAGGAGTGCAGGTGGGTGAGCAAGGGGCTCATATCCAGGAGGAGTATAGGGGGTCTGATCAGAGGGGCCCCCATCCAGGAAGTGTTCAGGGGGGTGATCAGAGCCCCCCCCACCCCATCTAGCAGGAGGAGTGCTGGGAGTGATCAGAGGGGCCGCCATCCAGGAGGTGTGCAGGGGGAGTGATTAGAGCCCGCCCTCCGTCCAGCAGGAGGAGTGCAAGGGGGATAATCAAAGGAGCCCCCATCCAGGGGAAATGCAAGGGCAGTGATTAGAGGAACCCCCCATCCTGGAGAAGTGCAGTGGGGGTGATCAGATGGGCCCCCTTCCAGGAAGAGTGCAAAAGAGTAATCATAGTTACATAGTTAGTCTGGCTGAAAAAAGGCAAAAGTCCATCCAGTTCAACCATTAAAAAAAAAGTTATATTGCTATACCCACAGTTGATCCAGAGGAAGGCAAAACCAGAGGGCCCCCATTCAGCAGGTGTGTACAGGGGTGATCAAAGGGTCCCCCATCCAGCAGGAGTGCAGTAGGGGTGATCAGAGGGCCCCCCATCCAAGAGTGCAGGAGGGTGGTTAGAGGGGCCCGCCATCCAGCATGAGTGCAGTGTGGGATGATCAGAGAGCCCCCCATCCAGGAGTGCAGGAGGATTATCAGAGGGGCTCCCCACCCAGCAGAACTGCAGGGGACCATCAGATGGAGCCCCCATGCAGCTTGAGTGCAGGGGGTGATAAGAGGAGCCACTCAACCAGCAGGCATGCAGGGAGTGAACAAAGGGCCCCCCTTCCATTCAGCAGGAGCGCAGGGGGCCTTCTTCAACTTACACCCCTCCAGCAGCAGACACCCAGCCAGGAGTGCAGGCAGCTACACCTCCCACAGAGATTTTCACTAAAACTGTGACAATAAAGGGGGCCTCACACAAAAAAGGTAAAAAAAAACAACCAAGTCAGGTCCCCCAAGTTTCTATACTAAACCCTTCCTGTCTGATTAGCAACAAAAATGCATCATCATTCAGGTGTGGCGGGGCACCATGATGTCTAAATACAATCCTAGCATATATCCTGGCTGAGTATGTCAGGTACAGCTTGCACAATACTAGACATGGGTTGGGGAACTCAGGTACTTTCAGGTGTTGACATTTTTTACCCATATCACAATCCAGTGGAATTACACATTTAGACCTGCAGACTAATTTTCAGACAACAACAGGGTTGAAAGCAATGACGTCTATAAGTGTCCAGTCACATCCACACCCCGTGGGCCAGTCTACAAACTGCTTTTAGCTTATCTTCATCACTGGAGCAGACAGGACATGTCATGGGTGCTTAAGTCTGAGTCAGTAAAATGGAATTCCAATAGCAAGGAATCTTACAAGGAGATCTTATCATTGGCAACACTAAAAACTTTGGTTTACTAAGTACAAACCCAGCTGACCCTTTCATTTCCCAATTATAATGAACTTATGAATGTATATTGTCACAGAAATGACTAACTGCAGCTTCCTGGGACACAACATCACCACACTTGAATCTCATACTACTGATTAGGGATGAGTAAATTGCTTGTTTGAACTTAGGCTGGGTCCATACCAATATCCTTTTTTGGAGAACATGGCCTTCTTTTGACCGCACATTTTGGTGCATTTCTAGCACATTTACTGCACAACAAAATATGAGGCAAATACTCACATTTGCTACCTGTACTTAGGGTGCCATTAACAATTAATGACACTGCAAACGTGACACGTGTTTGCAATGCATTTCCAAAAATGTGTGTTTTCTATACCGTTGGAAATGCCAAGTGTAAATGGAGCATTGGAGTTCTAGGCTCTTTGTGTGATAAAATCATAATAAGCGATGTTAAACTCAAAACCAATCATTAGAGGTGGTGTCTGCATTAGTTTTTTTTTTTCTTACCCTAGGTTCACACCTAAGCATTTTCCGCAGCATTTTGCAGTAACATACTACAGTCCATTTAACATGATTTCCTATGGGACAGGTTTACATATCCGCGTTTCCACCGGTGCATTTTTTGGAAAGGGTCACAGACTTTTTTTAACTACTCGCCTACCAGGCACTTTTACCCCCTTCCTTCCCAGGCCAATTTTCAGCTTTCACCACTGTCGCATTTAAATGACAATTGCGCAATCATGCAACACTGCACCCAAACAAAATTTTTATAATTTTATTGTGACAGAGCTTTCCTTTGGTGGTATTTAATCACCACTGGGGTTTTAATTTTTGCTAAACAAACTAAAAAAGACTGAAAATTTTGGGGCAAAAAGTTTTTCCTTTGTTTCTGTTATAAAATTTTGTAAATAAGTAATTTTTCTCCTTCAGTGATGGGCACTGATAGGAAGCACTGATGGGCACTGATAGGCGTAACTGATGAGGAAGCACTGATAGGTGGCACTGATGGGCATGGACAGGCATCACTTGTGGGCATTGACAGGCATCACTGATGGGCACTGAAAGGCAACACTCATATATGGCACTGATAGGCAGCACTGACTGGCACTAATAGGTGGCACTGGTTGGAACTGTTAGGCGGCACTGACAGGCACTGATAGACAGCACTGATTGGCACTGATAGGCAACACTGACTGGCACTGATAGGTGGTATTGACAGGCAGCTCTAATGGGCACTGATACGTGGCATTGATGGGCACTTACAGGTGGCATTGGTGGGCACTGACAGGTGACACTGATGGGGCTACACTGATCAGTGCCCTGATGATCAGTGCAGATGTCCGCTCCTAGTAATGCCAATTACTGGCTCTCCTCAGGAGCTGTCAGCAGGAGGAGAGGACTGCCGATAACCGGCATTTCCTATTTACATGTGATCAGCTGTGAATGGACACATCTGATCACATGACAGAGATGACATCAGCAACACATGACATCAGCTCTTTACAGTGATGGGTGATCCGCTGTGTCCCAGGGCGCGCACATGCAGTTGGAGTGGGAGGGCGTCATATGACGTCCTCCCATGATGAGAGAACCGCCGCCCTCCTATCATTACCTTATATGTCGGGCGGGAGGCGTTTAAACGCAAAAAAATTGAGTTTTTTGGTTCTATAGACTTCAATGGAAACGCTGCAGAAAAGCATGTAGTGCATGTTTGATGTGTTTTGCATTTTAAATCTGCCTAGCAACAAGGAACAAAAAAGAAGGAATAAAAATGCAAAACAGTGCAAAAACGCAAAACGTACCGCAAAAACAGATCAAACGCAAACTGCATAGGTGCTAGGTTAATTGTCTCCTGTCTAATTAGGCAACACAGCACAGCAGTCCAAAATGCTGTGGGGGCGGTAGCGGTTTGGGCAGCAGGGTAGTATGAATGGGCCCTTAGATTTCTTTCATTCAGCCTGCAGGCTGTGTATGGCCAGCTTTAGAAATGTAATCAGATAATAATTCTTCCCAATGCCATGCCCCCTAACCCAGATATCAGTGAAAGCACATTCCTGGCGTGTTTTGGTGCCAGGGATATCCCGGAGCAGCATACAACTACTTATAGACATAAAAGGGTGAACGCAGCTGTACGCAGGTATGTGCTGCTAATTGCGGAAAATGACCCATGTATACAGATGTAAGTTCCTGAACGTAGACTGTGAATGAGCCCTAAAATGAAGATCATAGTTTCACCTGCTTCTTTTTGCATGTAGTGTTTCAATAAGCTATAATAATCAAATGTAAACCATTTTAGGCAGAAAATCTGTTTATCAGTTTTTATTCAGCTGTCTCAATGTGTGACATGTACTGTGAGAAATATGGAGGCTTCATTTGCTGACCTCTTTCTGAAAATGCTAGTTGCATAGCTGTGTTTGGCTTCAATTTTATCAGTCACTAATCTCCATCAAGAATGCAGCATTGAACTCCAAACTTTTGCAAGTTTAAAATAAAGTATTAAAATCACTAAATCAAAATGACAGTCAGGCAACAAAAATTTTAACTGGTTCAGCACCTCCCTAATAGCAGAAATACAGCTACAGGGTGGCACGGGTGCGCAAAAGCATATATATATATATATATATATATATATATATATATATATATATATGATTTTGCAGCTCTTGGTAGGGGGCGCATGTACGCCCTGCTCGCACTGCCATTCGCGGCCTTGGGTGTCAATCACCGGGTCCCGGCCGGTGATTACTCGCCGGCATCCAGTGAGCTGAATATCTCCAGGGGGGAGAGACGTGTGTATAAACAACACAGATCTCTCCCGTCAGCTCCTGCACACTGCTTTGTGTGGCTCTGCATAGCAGAGCCATACAAAGTAGTGTGCTTACAGTGACGCACACACACAGCCCCCATAGTGAAACAGCACACAGTTTACCCTTTGATCGCCCAGTGCCATTAGTACATGTCGGTGCTTTTTATTAGCACTAATCACTATATTGGTGTCACTGGGGATGTCAGTGACACCAAGTCAGTTCCCCGCAGGGTCTGAATGCCCGCCACAGTCCGCAGTCCTGCTATAAGTCGCTGATCGCCGCCATTACATTTTTTAAATTTCAGTATCTATACCGCCATTTGTAAATGCTATAACGTTCATGTAAACCAATTCATTTACATGTAGTGGGATTTTTTTTCAGCAAAGACATGTAGCAGAATACATTTTGGCCTAAATTTATGACAAAATTAGATTTTTTAAATTTTTCATATTGGATATGTTTAATAGCAAAAATATTGTTTTTTTTTTTCTCAAAATTGTCAGTCTTTGTTTGTTTATAGCGCAAAAAATAAAAAACCACAGAAGCGATCAAATACCACTGAAAGAAAGCTCTATATGTGGGGGAAAAGAGGACGTAAATTTAATTTGGGTGCAGCATTGCATGACTGCGCAATTGTCAGTTAAATAAAAGTTTAAAGTTTAAAATGTCTATTTTAGGGTATGAATGTAAAATAAAAATGTAATATTAAATTTTAATTTTAACATACATTAATAACAGAGAAATCATTAACATTGTTGACAAAGGAAGCCATTTTCCAACACCAGTGGACAAACATTTTTTAAAATTCACTTATAGGTTAACCAGTCAGAGTTCATAATGGTAGATTAGATTTACTCCTTCAAAAAAAGTTTCTCACTGCTGTTGAAGGTACTACAGACAACTGCACTAAGCACTGCAGAAACTGAATAAAGGAGAAAACTGGCTTAAACAAATTATAAAAATGCGTTGCCTGGCATGTAAAAATGTAAAAGCAGATCTCACTGTAATACCCAGCACTGTCCATTGAATGATGGATGAATTACTATGGGGGATGAATTACTATATGGGGGATGAATTACTATGGGGGATGAATTACTATAGGGGGGATGAATTACTATATGGGGGATGAACTACTATGGGGGATGAATTACTATATGGGGGATGAATTACTATGGGAGATGAATTACTATATGGGGGATTAATTACTATGGGGGATGAATTAATATGGGGAATGAAGTTTGCCCACCCCTGCTCTAGACCTTCCTCCAAAGCTCTACAGCAGGAAGAAATTCCAGAGGGGCTGGCCTGCAGTGCCTCTCAGCCCTGACCCAAATTTAACCTCCTGACTATCACACCCAGGCTGATACTCAGCCCTCCTCTCTGACAATCAGTATTCTAGCTCCCCCTAGGTAACTAGAAGGGTGCTACATACGCTTGGGGTGGAGTTTAGCTCAGGGCAATATAAGTATTGTTATTTGCGACCGAACTCGGAGTGTTTTCCGCCACTGCACCACGCTACACCTGCCCACATGCCTATAAGCTGTTCAACACTGAAAGTCCTGCTAACACATGATGTACTTTGCCAGTCATGGAAGTATAAATGGTAGTACTTAAACTGTTTTATTTATGGGATCATAGGCAGAACCCAACATTCACAAATAAAAACATTAATAATAAAACACTATTACACATTTTTGTTTGGACCGAAATGGCTGCGGCCACTTTATTGTTGATAATATCAAAATTATTTATTATAACCAACTTGTAACACCTATATATATATAACATATCTTTGACCAGTGAAATCACACATAAACCAAAATATATCTTCACTTACATTTAAGAATACTTCTATATACTTCTATATAACTCAGCTATTAAAGTTCCAGTTATGGCAACTAGTACAAATAACTGTCCCCTTTCGCATGAAAGGGATGAATATCACATAAAAAAGACCTCAACACGGGCAGAAGGGCAGGACGTTTCTTCATCTGTTGGTCTCGCCGACTGACAGCTTGTGATGTAGATTCAAATGTTTAAATTCACATTTCTTAGTGCTACAGCTGTTTAAACATGTGACTCTTTTCCTGTTTTCCTAACTGTTACAGTTGCTATGCAGAATCTGCGATTTTTAAAGCCTGCCATGGTCCCATAGGTGGGTGAGGCAAATTAATTGCTCCCCCACTTCCCATTTTTCCACCCATTCCCATAGTTGCCAACATTTAAAAAAAATTTTAGGAACACTTTTCTTTTCCTGTATGTCCAGAAAGACAGTGTAATTGGAGCAGTATGTTAATTAGGGGTGGGGCATTCATCCACGGGTGTGGCCTAACCTGAAAAGAAAACTGGGTGTGGTTTAAAGTATGCTAAATATTGGACTTGTCTTAAAGGGGGTGTAGTTAAACAGAGTTTGAGATTTTCTTGGGCTCCCCCAAGGAATTTTGCTCTCCAGCCAAACATCCCAAAAAACAAACACACACACAGACTATCTAAAAAAAAAACTTAATAATGTAAACATAAACAACTGGTCCACATTCACTGATTGGCTGATAGAGGTTACAGCACATCATTACCACTCACTGATTGGTTTCTAGAGGTTACATCAGTCAGTACAGGAGTTGGTCAGAGACTGCAGGCGTAGTACAGAAGAGGGTCAGAGACTGCAGGCATAGCACAGGAGTTGGTCAGAGACTGCAGGCGTAGTAGAGGAGAGGATCAGAGACTACAGACATAGTACAGATGTAGTACAGGAGAGGGTCAGAGACTGCAAGCGTACTACAAGACTGTGTCAGAGACTGCAGAAGTAGTACAGGAAATGGTCAGAGACTGCAGACATAGTTCAGCAGAGGGTCAGAGACTGCAGGCATAGTACAGGAGTTGGTCTGAGACTGTAGGCGCACTACAAGACTGTGTCAGAGACTGCAGGCATAGTACAGGAGAGGGTCAGAGACTGCAGGCGTAGTACAGGAGAGGGTCAGAGACTGCAGGCATAGTACAGGAGAGGGTCAGAAACTGCAGCTGTACTACAGGAAAAGGTCAGAGACTGCAGGCATACTACAGGAGAAGGTCAGAGACTGCAGGAATACTACAAGAGAGGGTCAGAAGCTGCAGGCGTACCACAGGAGAAGGTCTGAATTTAAAAACTGTGTAAAGCTTGCCACCCAAAAAGGAGTGGGGACAAGCATGCATAGGACAGCCCATTGAAGTGAATGGGCTGCCCTATGGCAACATGCGGAAATGTGTGTCAATCTGCGTATGGTGACAGGTACTTACATTAAGCAATGCACATTCACCAATCCATTCTGTTCCCTGCCAAAGAGTCTGGAGTGATCAATCTCTTGGTGCAATTTATCCTTCCTGTGTCTCATGATTTGGGGGGAGAGACCGCTGAAGATAGTGGTTCATAATTCTGCACCAGCCTAGTGCAGTTAACCCTTTGAGGACCGTAAGGTTTTGGAACGCCAAAAGAATCGATTTTTTTTGTTTTTAAAGTTCGTACGCTTCAGTTGCTGTAACTAAGCCATTTCATGAAATAATTGGCAAAAAGCTAGATTCATTTGTTGTTTGTTGATAAGAACTAATATTTTGACTCAAACCAAAAAAAAAAAAGAGTTTTAAGTTCTTAATCAGATGATACACGCAATTACAAACATGGGATAAATACGTTCCTTG